GATAATCAAATAATGCAAAAATAGGAAGATGATCACTTATATCATTTATAACTAAACCACTGGTGATTTTATTCTCCAGAACATTGATAAAGAAATTATCTATTAAAGTTGCACTTGTTGTAGTTATTCTACTAGGCTTCGAAATGAGTGGGTACAGCCCTTTACCGTATAATATTTCTAGAAAGTCAGATGTTTGTTTATGTGTCTCTACCTTTAAGAGATCAATGTTATAATCTCCACACATTACCAGAGTTTTTTTGCTATTTAATCCATTTAACATTTCCTCTAACTTCTCTAAAAATATTTCCACTCTTGATCCTGGCTTTCTGTACACACAAACAACAGTTATATTTCTATTTTTTTCCAATTCTATTTCAATAGCAACACTTTCCATTAAATCATCTATTGTAGTTGTCATACCTTTAACTGGTCTACATTTTAATTCTTTACATACATAGAGGGCCACTCCCCCTCCAATCCTATTGGTTCTACTGGAGACATACAGCTCATAACCATTCATGTTTAGATCCACCTCCTTTCCTTTATTAATCCATGTCTCGGATAACGCTATTAACTTAAATCTACCTTTAACTGACTCCAAAAAATATTTGATTTCAGAAAAATGCTTAGACAAACTTCTACAATTGAAATGAATCATGGAAAATGAATTTTCTATTTCAACATCTTTAAGTTGCTCCTCAGTATAGTATCGACAGGAGTCCTGGAGGTGATTAAATACATAAGTCTCTGGATCCACATCATTTTCAAAACCATGTGCAAAGGGCTCTGTGTGATCAACACTTGAAAAGTTATAAGTCTTAAATGAGAGTGTCATTCATAAAATAAATTATATTTAACTGTTTTGATCAACTTAAATATCACTATCTCAGTCATGGATGAATTCCTGATGTCATATATGTCAAATGTTGTCATTTAAAGTGATCCAGATCACTCAATTTTCTTACCATGATCACTTTTGCTTGCTCCGGTGATCCATTCAGCCGAATCAATACTTTTCCATTCCTGGTCCAAGTTGCTTGGATTTTATTTTGCTTCTTTAGGTTCCGGCTGGCCCAAGATATTTCAGAGTTTTTCTTTGTCAAATGCTCATTTAGATATACTCCAGTGCCTTTCAGCTTCTTAGCTTCCTTCAGAATTTCCACCTTATGCTTTCTGTTGGCAAACCTAACAATGATTTTAGGCTTGCTTTTTCTGTCCTTATTTGGCAGAATGTGACACGCCGAGATGTGTTGGCTGTTCAGATGAATGTTTTTACTCATCATGAAGTGTACCACTTGCTGCTCCAATGTGTGCAGCTCCTCAGACGGTGCATCTTCACCATGCAGATCATTTGGAGGGCCAGCAGCCCGGGCATAACTTTGATGCCTGGTCTCTAGCCCGGTGATTACCAGGTCATCAGCTCTAAAATACTGCTCCAAGTCATCCACCCTTTGCTCCAGGAGCTCAATCCTCTCATCCTTCTGTTTGATCATAGCCTTTAGCTGCCGAATCTCCTCCACAAGGCCTGTAAGCTTCTTTTGTTCTTCCACAACTTCACTTATGTCTTTTGACAAATGATTCAGAGACTGTTTAATATCTCCCATTTCAGCTGCTAATCTGGTGTTAGTAGACATTTTGATCCAAGTATGTTGGGGAAGGAGCAACTGTCTTTGTGTTGGACTGCTCTTGTGTCCAATTTTCAGTCAAAATCGTCAAAATGCTCAAAGGAATGACTGTAAAATGTATCAATATGCGTCCTGATACCTTGTTTTTTGTCGGATGGTTGTTTATGTTGATGATATTTGATAGATTCTGTCAGGCCTCTGAGCAAAGAGAAGCAGCTGCAGCCATCTTGGTCTGACCTTTGTTCCATTACAAGTATTATGAGAAGGGTCGCGTCCCTCCGCCTCCGGGTGGGGGACAAGTCTCTCATTGTTGTGACGGCCTACGGGCCTAACAGCAGTGCAGAGTACCCGGCCTTCTTGGAGTCCTTGGGAGGGGTACTGGACGGTGCACCGCCCGGGGACTCCGTTATTCTCCTGGGGGACTTCAACGCCCGTGTGGGAGTCGCCAGTGACACTTGGAGAGGGGTGATCGGAAAGAACGGCCCCCCTGATCTGAACCCGAGCGGTGTTCAGTTGTTGGACTTCTGTGCCAGTCACAGTTTGTCCATCACGAACACCATGTTCGAGCACAAGGGTGTCCACCAGTGCACGTGGCACCAGGACACCCTAGGCCGGAGGTCGATGATCGACTTTGTTGTCGTATCATCTGACCTTCGACCGCGTGTCTCGGACACTCGGGTAAAGAGAGGGGCGGAGCTGTCAACCGATCATCACCTGGTCGTGAGTTGGATCCGCTGGCAGGGGAAGAAGCCGGTCAGACCTGGCAGACCCAAGCGTATAGTGAGGGTCTGCTGGGAACGTCTCGCTTAGCCCCCTGTCAGACGGACTTTCAACTCGCACCTCCGGGAGAGTTTCTCCCAGGTCCCGGCGGAGGAGGGGGACATGGATCATGTTCTCTGCCTCAATCGCCGATGCGGCGGCTCGTAGCTGTGGTCGCAAGGTCTCTGGTGCTGGTCCCGGCGGCAACCCCCGAACCCGGTGGTGGACACCGGCAGTAAGGGATGCTGTCAGGCTGAAGAAGGAGTCCTATCGAGCCATGATGGTTCGGGGGACTCCTGAGGCAGCTGTCCAGTACCGGCAGGCCAAGCGTGCCGCGGCCCGGGCTGTTGCAGAGGCAAAAACCCGGGACTGGGAGGAGTTCGGAGAGTCCATGGAGCATGACTATCGGTCGGCCTCGAAGAGATTCTGGCAAACCATCCGGCGCCTCAGGAGGGGGAAGCAGTTCTTTGCCAACACCATGTACGGTGCGGGTGGAGAGCTGCTGACCTCGACTGGGGATATTGTCGGGCGGTGGAAGGAATACTTTGAGGTTCTCCTCAATCCCCCCGTCACGTCCTCTGTTACAGAGGCAGAGGCTGAGGATGTTGAGGCGGATACATCCATCTCCCTGGCTGAGGTCACCAAGGTGGTTGGTAGCCTCCATGGTGGCAAGGCTCCGGGTGTGGATGAGATCCGCCCTGATTATCTAAATTCTCTGGATGTTGTAGGACTGTCTTGGCTGACACGTCTCTGCAACATCGCGTGGCGATCGGGGGCAGTGCCAATGGAGTGGCAGACCGGGGTGGTGGTCCCTCTCTACAAGAAGGGGGACCGGAGGGTGTGTTCCAATTATCGTGGGATCACACTCCTCAGCCTCCCCGGTAAGGTCTACTCCAGGGTACTGGAGAGGAGGTTACGGCCGATGGTCGAATCTCGGATCCAGGAGGAGCAGTGTGGTTTTCGTCCCGGTCGCGGAGCACTGGACCAGCTCTATACTCTCCATCGGATACTCGAGGGTTCATGGGAGTTCGCCCAACCTGTCCACATGTGTTTTGTGGATTTGGAGAAGGCGTTCGACTGTGTTCCCCGGGGTGTCCTTTCGGGGGTTCTCCGGGAGTACGGGGTCGGGGGTCCTCTGCTGAGGGCCATCCGATCCCTGTATGACCGGAGCCAGAGCTGTGTTCGCATTGCCGGCAGTAAGTCAGACCTGTTCCCGGTGAATGTTGGCCTCCGACAGGGCTGCCCTTTGTCACCGGTTCTGTTCACTGTATTTATGGACAGAATATCTAGGCGCAGCCAGGGGTCGGAGGGGGTCCGGTTCGGAGACCACAGGATTTCATCTCTGCTGTTTGCGGACGATGTTGTCCTGTTGGCTCCAACGAACCAGGACCTGCAACATGCACTGGGGCGGTTTGCAGCCGAGTGTGAAGCGGCTGGGATGAGAATCAGCACCTCCAAATCCGAGGCCATGGTGCTCGACCGGAAAAAGGTGCCTTGCCCTCTGCAGGTGGGTGGAGAGGTCCTTTCTCAAGTGGAGGAGTTCAAGTATCTCGGGGTCTTGTTCACGAGTGAGGGAAGAATGGAGCGTGAGATTGACAGGCGGATCGGTGCAGCGTGCGCAGTGATGCGGTCGCTGTATCGGACCGTTGTGGTAAAGAGGGAGCTGAGCCGAAAGGCAAAGCTCTCAATTTACCGGTCAATCTTCGTTCCCTCCCTCACCTATGGTCATGAACTTTGGGTAATGACCGAAAGAACGAGATCGCGCATACAAGCGGCCGAAATGAGCTTCCTCCGCAGAGTGGCTGGGCGCTCCCTTAGAGATAGGGTGAGGAGCTCAGTCACACGGGAGGAGCTCGGAGTAGAGCCGCTGCTTCTCCACGTCGAGAGGAACCAGTTGAGGTGGCTCGGGCATCTGTTCCGGATGCCTCCTGGACGCCTCCCTGGGGAGGTGTTCCGGGCACGTCCCACCGGGAGGAGGCCCCGCGGAAGACCTAGGACACGCTGGAGGGACTATGTCTCTCAGCTGGCCTGGGAACGCCTTGGGGTCCCCCCGGACGAGCTGGAGGAAGTGTGTGTGGATAGGGAAGTTTGGGCGTCTCTGCTTAGACTGCTGCCCCCGCGACCCGACAACGGATAAAGCGGAAGAAAATGGATGGATGGATGAATACAGACAGACAACTCCAGGGTTATGTGTGAATCTGATCATGTGTGCAGCAGTTCTACTCCCATGAGCCCACAGCCAGGCTTGTAAAGATGAATGGCTTGAGGTTTGCTGCAGAGGGCTTATACATATACACACACGTGACACATTGCTATAGGCAAGTTGCACCTGCACTCACACCATATAAGGCACCTATACATGATTTAGGAAGTTTTCTTTTACAGCTAAAATGTGTATTCATCACTTGAGCTGTACTGTATTTTATTGTTGTGAAGCACTTTGTAAACTGTTTTTAAATATGATGCTATACAAATGAAGTGTATTACCATCATTTATAGCATCCATATCTTTGGACAGAACTAAGAGGTCCATCAATAATTTGATTTATTTGAAAGTGTGTTTTTTTGTCCGCTTGTATTGGACAGATTCTTAGGGTGTACTGTACAGACACATACCTGTAGCCATCTTCCCATCAGCTGCAGCAGGTCCATCAGGGATAACACTTTTGACTTGGAGAAATTCGTCTGGCTCATCGCCTCCAATTATTGTAAATCCAAAGCCCATGTTGCTTTTCTGGAGAGCCGTGGATAAGAAACTGCCCTTGAGCTGAGTAGGGTCCCGGGTGAATGGCGGCTTCTCTATAAATGACACATAGAGAAATAAACCTCTTATAGCCACAACTTATTTGAGAAATTGACAAAGGGACCTGCAAAGCAGAGGGCGGGCAGTGGTCAATGGGTGGGACATGAGGAAAACATAGTCTTCAGAAACTGGAGCAGAATTAGCTGCAGAGCATTATTGCAAATTGAAGAGGTGGCTGTGAGCTGTAAAGATGCAGGTGTTGTTTGGATTTAGTGATGTTCCAAAATCCCCCCAAATAATCATTAATGTTTTTGGCCCATGCTGAGATGTGGCAGCCTAATGGAGACGTGGCAATATCAGCAGTGTGATTCTGGACTTTGGATAAGAGAAACAAACTGGGAAAGGACTTGGGTTTTGGGAAGAAAGGAGAATTGGGACACATTTGGGGAATTGTTGGAATTTGTGTTCAGCAAGCAAGCTCGTCAGTCTTTGTAACCTTCTAGAAAATGAGATGTGCCTCATAACACTGTCACTAGAACATTTAGAAGCCTAAAGGGAAGTTTGCTTGCAAGCTTGCATGCTAAGATGGGACCGCAGTGAGCCATTTTTGCCTGTCTTTTGGCCTACTTACTGACACAGTGCCACAGGGACGGGGGGGTAAACACAGGCTGCTGTAGCAGCACAGTGCAGGCCGATGTGTGGAGTGGCTCCTGATTGGGACACATATTCATCCGCCGCGTCAAAATGCGCCTCAGTGGGGAGGCGCTGGCGGAGGAGGAAGTGGTAAAAGCTGCGGGTCTGCGACCTGTAGCTGGGGAGCGTGGCAGGTCACTGAGGCTATGGCAGCGTTCGTGCACTGTGCCGACCTGTGCGAGGAAAGATCTGGGCAGGGTTGCAAAGGGGCACGCATCCTCCACTGCCGTCCACATTTAAGGGAAAGATGAGAGAGGGAGGAGACACAGAGTGTAACCACAGAGACAGCTCTAGCATGTTACTACGGAAACCAACCTCCTCTTCACCAGTTTTATCAAAAGCATCTGACTGCTACAAAAAGAGGGGCATGAAAGTGGGCACTGCAATCAGATTCTAGGAAAGCATTCAATACAAGTACAACAAACTTCTTGCCCATAATTCTACATGCTATATAGTCCGTCAGTACCTTTGAATGTCATGAACGTTTAGAAAACAAATGCTGATACACAAAGGGTAAATGTATAAATAGATAGAACTTATTTTGATATGATAGTTAGGGGTCTTACCTCTGTAGATGGTGGGGAGTGGCAGTGAGGACAGACCCTGGCTTTGCATCTGTTGCTGCTGCTGGATTCTTCTTTTAGCCTCCAAAACTGGATTCTCAAACTGGGTTCTTCTATTTATGTGGCTACAATAAAGACCGAAAACAAAACCAATCAGAGAAGCACTCAGATGTCTCCACGTTCTGGTAACTGATTTAAGTTATCTAAGTAACACAAAGCATTAAAACACAGTGGATAATTCATTAAAGAGCAGGTTAATTTATGAAAGTGGATCGGGGAAAGTCTTGCTGTGTAAAAGGAACAAAAGCTGGAGAAATCTAGAACAGACTTTTCCTCTTCATCCTGCACTTTTTTCTTCGTGATTTGCAAAAAGGAAAATGCTGTTGGAAGTGATTTGTGTGAGCAAAATAAGGACTCATTATTTTCTTTGAGCCACATTGTGCAGCTTCATCTCCACCTAATCAATGCAGCCTCTTCATAACATTAATTAAAAAAAACAAACAACATTGCATTTCCTTGCATAATATCAATCTAACTGACCTCTTTAGCGATGACAGAACCAAACAAGACATCGATCAAGTGTTTTTTCGAGTGCAACAGTGTCATTCAGAGGCATTTCTTGGGCAAAGTTAAGCTCATCTACTCCTGGTTTAAAAATAGCCTCTTTGGCCCAGAGAGGGGAGATTTGAGCCAAAAATGTGACAGCTCCAAACAAAGGGACACACAGTTCAATGAAGAGTACTGTGACACAATACTGCAGTGTCACTCATCAACTCATTGTAACCAGATCTCTACATTAGACAAAAGAGTTGATGTAGATTCTCATGAAAGAAGTAACATACTGTTGTTGGATTGGATTTAATTGTTTTAGCCATGTTTTGGAGATTCTTAATGATAAGAACATAAAATACAAAAATGTGCTTTTGTGTGTAGCCATATGATGTCTTGTAAACATGTTTTCTATTTTGAAATGAATGATAATGATAATGATATGTGACTCCATATACACGTCAAGCCCTGGGGTAACTGACCGAAGCAAGGCAACCAGACTCTGCCATTGGCCCTTATAACTACCACCAATCATTCACTCACACTCATACATATTCTAGGCAATGTGGGCAAAGTGTTTTGCCTACGGACACAATGGCAGTTTGGCACTTTGCTGCTGCTTCACAGTGGAGCCTGGTGTTCCCAGATGTCTACCATCACAGTACTAACCAGACCTTGCCCTATTCAGCTGCAGAGGTCTGACGGGATCACAACATGCTGTTGGCGCTACATCTGCATGTCAAAGTATAACACAATTGTGCAAGGTAGCCCAGGACTTTAAAGGAGGTGGGGGGCTTTTTTGCCAAGAAGTACAGTATGTGCAAGAACCTCACCTAAGTATCACAAAGGACTTCTAACCTGTCAATAGATGTCAAATGCAAACACAGTACACAAAATTGAGAACTGGGGGATGAAGACTCCTGTTCACAGAGAAGAATAGTTTCTGTTGTCATTACAATTTGAAAATTCAAAACATGTTTAATTGACCTGAAATTGCTTCATATAACCACTAACAGTGAAAAATATTTGTTTGCGTCATTCATACGATTTGAAATATGGCCCAGATTTGATATTTCTGCCTGAGGATGTACATCTTCAAGCACAACTGTGCATAAACCACCTTTGATTGTCATCATGTGTTAGATTTGTTTCTTATGTTATCCTGAAATGTAAAATACCAACAAAAGAGGCAAAACAGTCTGCACCAGGAGACTGCTCTAATAAACAAGATTAATACAGCATCATAGAATATCAAGAGCGAGCCATTACATATTGAAGATACTTACTCAACATAGTAGCTCCCGTAAATGGGGTCATCGATTTTCTCCCAGCCGTATGGAAGCTCTGCAAAACATACACACACACACACACACACACAGACACACGCACACACCAACAATAATGAAGAGGTGCTTATTCATTGAACCCGCAGCAGCTTATTGATTTTGGCTGAAAGGAATAGCTTCTTTGGTACCTTTTTAACATCTATAATTACCACTATGTGATGGGCTAATAAGAAAGACAAGAATGACCATTTTGATGTTACCATTTTAGCCTCAGGGTTGTCTCATAGCTTTTAGAAAACTTGTTATGATGAATAGAGCAAACCATACAGACTCATTTGTACAGGAATCATCAAAAAAATAACACATGTCAATAGATCTAGTAGCTGAGATTTTGTGTAATAATAATGTCTGGCATCTTTAGCATGTTGTGTTTAATTTGTTTTTTATTACCTTTTGTGAGCTTCATACATTTCCACTTTATTTAAGTGTGTGTCATGTGTGTTCAATCAGAATCTGACTCAGAATAAGGATTTATTTCAAAGTGATAGTCTGGACTTCGTCAGAAAAAAGAGAGAGGTACATGATTTGAAAAAATAAATAAATAATATATATATAACCCTCAAGCTCCCAGGCCTCTGGTAGAGGACCCGAGCTTAGAGAGGGATAACCTCCCGCGGAGGGCCAAAGGTGAGTGGACAATTTTTTTAAATATATATATATATATATATATAGAGAAGAAAAATAGAATTCCAGACTATCACTTTAATGGTGTAAATAACATGAAGTCAAAACAAGTATGAACCTAAATATAATGTATTTCCCTGGAGATGTTATTGCTTTACTTGGAATATCTGTCTATAATATTAAAACTTCAGGATGCTTTCAGGTTGGATAAAGATAATAATTGTAAAGAAAAAAGGCAAAACACTTTAGAAACAATACAACAATATAAAACCATGATTGAGTTCTAGAATGAATCTTCCATGAAATTGTACAACAACAAAAAAACTTAAAGATAATACCTCCTGGGAATAGAAACACAAAAATTAAGTGAAGATGGAAATTTAAAGTGTATCTTTCTTCAAAACCTCGACAGACATCAATCAAATGTGACAACTATTTAATAAATTCACCTTCATCTTTCTTCTTTCTTGTGCCCCAAGCGCTTCAACAAAGCACAGACATTTTCAAGAGTGCAATAGGAGCTCCCCATTTGCTTTTTAGATTATGAGAAATTACCATTTAAAGCCTATTCCCAAATGGAGACCGCAGTGTTTTAGCATAATAGTACGATCATTCAAACCTAAATTAGGAACAAAGTGCGATAGGCCTCAGCTGAAATAGAATCTGAGTTAAATCCCTGACATAGCAATGGGACAGAATGCTCCAGTTTCAGACCAATACGGATCAGTGACAAAGCCAAATTACTGTAGAGGGGGAAAAAAGTGACACAATAAAAAAAACACACACACAACCAAGTCTGCTTGTGTAGATTTTCTGTTGAATGAAAAACACAACCCTTCTCCTCACTTAAATCCACAGTCAGTGGGTCTGCGAAGAGGGTTTAAGAAAAGACCCACTTCATGACATTACATGTATTGTGCATGTTCTCTCATACATCATCACAAGGAGCAATCAGTCCTCTGCATGTCATCAATATTAATATACCTTGCCATCACACAACACACAAAATAAGTTTCCAAACAAGCAAGAAAAGACATATTGTGTGTTGCTATAATGACGTATAGAGGAGTCCCGAGTGATGAAAGTGTGCCACGAGGGCTGTGACAGCTCTTTGGGCTCATCTCTCATTAAATATAAAAGTGTGTTTCATGCTCTCACCTTTAGCGAGCGACACAATGTCCTTTACTCACACATCTCTATCGTTATAAGATGCGCGCACACACACACAGTATCAAAGACTTGCCATCCATTGGAAATGCTCTTTAATAAAAAAAAAATGTCCCTCAGGGAAACAGGGGAGACGGCGAACATATTCATTAAATCATGCCATATGGCAAAAGTAAATGCAGGTCGTATGTATTTCTCTTTCGTGAATGTTCTTGTGTATAACACAATCCACTCCATTTAAAACATTATAGCCATTTTACTTTCACTGTATCATCTTCAAGGAAGAGAGTACCTTTCCATTACAACAGTAGAGTGAAGAGTCTGTGCCAGGTGTTCTTGATGGATCGCAGTAGTATGCAGAACACTTAAATGATTAAAGGTACATCCTATGCACAGAGTTTAGATACAACTAAAGTAGATATTGACGTTTTTGGACGCTTTTTCCCTTGAATTTTTATTGATGCACAGAGTGAATACTAAATTAATTTAGTTTCTACTTTCTATCTGTATTATATTTTCATAATGAGCTCAAAAACATTATTTTGTATTCTCCAAAAACTATTCTTACAACTAACTGCAATTGGTTGAAGTTTTGGCGCATACTACCGTTTTCTTCAAATTGTAGGATAATGAAATAAAATCTGTTGTTCATTATTGTGTTTCCATTTGTCTCAGAAAAAGGTCAGTCCATAAAACTTTCTCAAAAGGGGGAAAAACTAGTATACTTTTGTGAGATCGGAGGGGACCTGACTGTCCGATCAGACAAGAAACATAACACATTTAGTCTATGATATTTTAATAGTTTACAAAGTGCATGATCATGCCTGGTCTATTCTTATGGGTAAGGCAGCATGTGTAAATTTGGTGCATTTCCACGGAAAGAGTCCTTTGTTGAATGCACATGGACTTTGTCGTTGCAAGTCCTGGAAACTGGAACTCCCTGCACGTCTCCCAGTGAAGTCACAGGTTGAAGAACCACTTCCCACCAGCAGGAGTCACCCTGGCATCTTCCCCACTACACTCTCCAAGACTATTATGTCTCAATAACTGCCTCTGATAGTTCCCTTTTTCCTGCTTGCCTCATCCATCTCCTGCCTGTGTTTCAGGAGGAAATTACAAAAGATGGAAAGACTCTATACTCAATCTTATTCAAGGTTTATTTTAGATGATTGACGTTTCAGTAACTTTTACCCATACAAAAAAGCCAATATTGTCCTCTTTATTTTGCCACTGCAGTCAACCTTGAGGAATGAATGCTGTGCTTCTATTATTAGGACTATTCTCTGTGTCCCTAAAATCCTCTACCGTGTTTTATTTTCTCACAATAACCTTTTTCTACCTTTTCCATTTAACTCCTCTCTCCTTTCTTGGGCATAAAAGAGGGGGTATTGGGTGAATATATACACATATAATAGCCTGTAGCCAACTCAATCACCTCTACACTTTCTAAAAACAGAATCCAGATAATGTTCTTGAGGCACAAAATCAGGGGAAAAAATTGGTATGAAGTATGAAGCTTAATTTGATAAATTTATAATTTTTTACCAAAAACTACTGGATTTAAGTGTTGCTTATTTCGAGGCCATATACAGTATAAGAAGACATTTAACAGTTGCTTTTACAACACAAATAGCTCATTCTCTTATGTGCATAAAAGGCCAGTGGGTTATACTGCAGACCCGTGTGAAGGTACTTCATTCAATGAAAGTTTAATTGTTAATACACCTTCCAGATCCTTTACAAAAGGACTGGTATAATGTAACTCAACCCAAGCCTTGACCACTCGGCTGCAGACGACCTGAACACCAACATATTTTCATATGATAAAAATAAAAATAATTGGTTCGCTTTCGCTTTTTAGCAAGGAGGCCCGGCAGGTTCGGAACGGGGCCTTTCTTAGTGTAGTGCACTGTAGTGTAGTGCTGAGTGCATTCTGCATAGGTTTCCTCTGAGTGCTCCGGTTTCCCCCACCACTAAAAACATGTAGGATCTCTCTCTGGGGCCAGAAAAATAAATTATGAAATCTCAGTGGGACCTCTCCTGGATAATTAAAGGACAATATACAGTAAAAGCAAGAATTAATATTGTAAGTAAGTAAGTTTTACATTACTTACTCACTACTTACTACTGTACTTACTGATATTGTGATATTTGAATCTGTCGTTACTGCATTGAATTAACATGAGTAAATAAAAAAGGGAGCTCTGGCCTTGCTTGAACAGTTAACCAACACCTTTTCTTTTTCCATTAAGTGGACTTTGACCATTCAAAATATAACATGATTTATCAGTATGACATTGGCAGCTGCCCTAAACTTCCCACACTGATAATGGATAGGCAGAAATGAATAATAAGTGTTCTGCTCAAGAGTGTCCCTGGTCGTTAAACATGGTTCTTCAGGTTTACGATGATGGACGTGCTCAGTGACGCACATAGCCAAAAGCAGCATAGATATAAGCACTAAAAGAGTGAGAGCTGTGGCTTGATAGAAAATACTTTATTGCCATTATGTGAATTGGTTAAACTAGAGAACCGTGTTCTTGGTGGTTTTCGGGATGGGTTTAGCAAATGTGTACCAGTATAAAATGTAAGACAGATAGTTTGGCCTTCAGTCGAAACAACTCCTGTCCTTGTTTATTGTTTTTTTCAAGTTGTTTCCCTTCCAGAACCTTTAGACAACCTGTCCTTTTATTTGAAATCAGTCCTAACCAGTGTTGCCCACTGTGTTCAAGGCTGCAATGCTATTTGTTGTGGACTCTTTTATTGTTCAGACTTATTTATGACTATTATGTAAAAGACTTGTTTTATAACAGCCCAGCGAATGCAGCTGATTACATCAAATTATGTATTCAGGTTAATAGGATTCGGATGAATTCCAAACTAATTAGAGTCCAAACCGTTTCTGAATTCAGAATGAGAAAATCAAAAGTGAAGCTCACAATTGACCAAAAGCATCAGCATGACTGTCACTTTAACATGGCTCATATTGTCGCACTGTTTGAATTATTCTCAAATACAGCCAAACACAAGTGATCTCACAAGTGATTGTTACTGTAAAGTGCTTTGACACTGTGGTCTGTCAAATGCGCTACATAAATAAATATGACTTATTACTTATATCATGCGCTATAGCTCAAATGATGTGCATAAAGCTGTAAAAGACTTTTCTTTAAGTTTATAAGATAGTGAAAAGATAAAATATAGACAAATAGCCTCAACAATTTGAATATAGTGATTGTACTTAATGATTTCCAAAATTACCCTGTTTACTATAAGTTGGAAGAGAAAAAAAGTCACTTCGGTCTCTGCTCTGACAGCTAATTTAGCATGCACATATCCTATCACACACACACACACAACAGAGAAGCCTTTGACTCTATCCAATCTCCAGAACCAGACAGGCTCTGGTGAGGATGTTCTTAAAATGCACCCATCAATCAGACACTGACAGCCTGGAGCCCCACCCACAGCCAGCTCCACTGCACCACTACCAGAGAGTCAAGGTGACAGAAGGAGCTCTCAGCTATTACTTAAGGTAATAACATCACCTGTTTATTGCCTACAGGGTGAGAGGTTATGCCATAGGCAGAGTTTGTTCATTTGGGAGGACTTGACTCCAACTTTCCAGAAACCGCTGTGATAGCACAATGAATAATCCGGTTCTTTCCCATTCTTGCTTGCTGTGACCCGAGGCCCCCGTCCCAGAGACTGAACAAGGCTCCTCCTGGATATACATGCAGTTCTATGATGTACATACATGCAGTTAAAGGAGCAGTATGTAAAAATCTGGCCAACAGTGGTACTGGAACCTCTCCCACTCTCCCTGACTCAGGTTGCCAGATATTCAGACAAATCCAGCTGGGACAACATCTGAATAGACAAGAGTTTTACCTACAGTACTACTAATCTATAACCAACACCTTTTTCACTAACATAAGGCCTCAATAGAAATCCTCGTTTTGTCATTAATGATTTGAAAATTATAACAAAACCTTTTTTAGTTCTGCAGCCACATGTTACTTTACCAGTGAGATTAGCTCGGCACGATGAGTTCTGGCAACCCTTATTACGGACTTTCTGATCGGTAAGACGGTGGAGGGCGGGACATTGAAATAAAAACAATAACAAGATTTAGATTTAAAACAAATTTTAAATCCAAATATCTCGGCTGAACTGTTGTTATCAGTTAAAGAAGTATTCAAAAAGAACATGATTTATTAATGCCTTTTGACATATTAGGGCTATTTAATGATGACTTGACATGAAAATCTAACATATTGCTACAAAAGCATCTCGAAGACCGCCATAAGTTACTTACAGAAACAAGTGAAAGGATTTAATCGCAAATAATCGATTATTGAAATGATGCATTAAGAAATCAGATAAACGTTTTTTGATCCTTACATAAACATGCTGAGAAGAGGTTTTATGATATATATTTCTAATAAACAACCCAATGTGTGAAAAGTAATCTCTGTGAAGCTTCACTTGAGGTTTGATTTGGTCCAATGTACGTGTATACACAAATTCCTTATTCACTGACCTTTTGAGGTCCAAACAATTACAGCCCGTGGTAACACAAATAAAAGGGCAAATTGATATTAGTCTCATCTTGCCATCAGCACATTTCGACATTTATAGAACCTGGAACCCTGCTCAAAACAATTAAATAAACAATATAGCTTTGGATTTGCAGGCCAACTCAAAAATATGGATTTTAATATGCATGAAGTAATAGGGAAGCATTCATCGCTGTGCCTCAAACCAATTTCAAACCATACATGTTTGATGACAAGCAGTACAAAAAACTTGAAGATCATCAGATGCACACAATCAAGCAGCAAATGAGGGAAAATAAAACATCCCAGTCCAGCCGTAGACCCTCACGAATGGGACAAGAAGAGACACTTCATATTAATGAAATGTCAATAAGACATAATGACTGTTCATTTGAGTGTGAGACATACACATGATATGAAAAAATGATATGAAAATAGTGTGAAGTCGTTCCCAGATCCTGGTCATTGTCTCTAACCATCGTCTATGGTTACAATTACATTGAACTGAACTATACTGTACTATATTTTACAATGAATAGTGTGAAATGGATAATTTCCAACCTTTTTGTTTGTAAAACATTCAGATACCTGCGCATCTAAAATTAGCAACCATGAATTTATGTCAATCATTTGAAGACCTGTGGACTGCCTTGCAATAGGTTGAAATCGTGACATTTCGTATATATTTACCAGATACTCAAAAATAAAAGAAGACATGAACAAGAAATATAACCAATGGACAACAGTTGTTTTGTTCACTTTCTGCTCACACATTTCCGGCAGGCCAGAAGAGTTCAAAATGAATAGTCTGTGAATTAAAGCAAACAGCGATGTGGTGCAAACGGCTGTCCTCGTTCTGTTCGTCTGGCAAAACAAAACATGCCGACAGAATGGAGAGAGGTGCAGAAAATATGGAGTGGGTTATGTTATGTAAGCTCTGGGCGTCTGATGTCAGCTGCCTGGTCTTCACTAGTGCAGACGTGCCTTTGAACCAGCGCCCCAGAATGCATTCAATTTAACATGCAGTTTGTGGAAGGTTGTGTGACAGAAATTGGTTGTATGTCTGTAGTGAAAAATGATCATTGTCACCGTGGTGTGCAACTCTTCCAATAAATATGTCCTTGAGGAAGAAATAGAGTTGCACAGCAGCTTTGTGCATGTGTTAATGAGGAAAAAAAGAACGTTGGTTTGAATAAGGAAGTAGGCAGCAACGTAAAAGCAGTACATTTATCATGTCGTTTTGGCCTCTTCGATGACATTATGGCCATGTTCCCAGATCGAAAAATGAACTTTGGTGTGGACAATATTTCAAAATTATGAGTAACTGTTGCAAAGCACAATAATAATTCTTCATTTCTGATATGTTTTGTTGGCAACATTTGTGACACTACTGCAGATTGCAGCTTGCTACTGCAGCCACCTTTTGCTCCGATCAATATCGAATTTACAGAGGCAGCCATTTCCCCTGGAGTTCTGCTCTCTCAAACACATATTCTCTTAAGCAAGCTGTAGTGGCAACGATACCACAGAGTCAGTGATATGTGAACGCCGATATCATTGGTACATCCAGTTTTTGACAAGCAAGAAAGTGTATGTCAACTGTCGCTGCTTAGCAAAGGAACAAATCATTATAAGCAGCTCTCAAAACCTACCATGTTGCTGTTGCACCATTCCTGAACCCCTTAATCTCGATGAATCATTCGAAGAGATCAATAGCAGAGCTCAAAAACAAGGGCACACCCCCCGTGAAATGCCCTTAATGGATAAAAAGGATTGGAGTGTGGAGATTAAAGTGCAATCATATTTGGACTAATTCTTCTGAAGAAACACTGCTTTATAGTTCTTTGTGCCATTTCACCACTGCACAGCTCTTCTTTCCTTTAATCTCTAATGATGAAGAAGGAGTTTCAACAACCTCAAGAGACATGCCGCATCAGGATGGAGGATCTGACAGAAAAGACATGAGGGGCAACAGTCTGGAAGTTTGGAGCTGACAGATTAACTATTTAACTGTTAAAGAAAATTATGGCTTTTTGTTGTGGAGCCCTAAGACATTAGGAGTAAGACCATGCTCTACATATAAGCACAAATGTTGACAGACTCTGAAAGTGAGTGTTGCTTCGTGTCCCTCTATTGAAGCCATAAACTGTAAATCAAGAGTGAACTGACTGCTGACGTCACCCATCCTGTTTGCAGAATAGGCCGATTTGCCAAGTGTTGTGGCGATTTTACCTGGAAAGTCAATGGTGACATACGTCAGTGCGAATATTCACATGTGCGTTGTGGCACACACACGTGTCCGCGATGCATGCGGCAAACACAGGAGATGAACATTGCTCAAATGTTTTTTCACAGCCAATCAGAGCAGGAAGATGAAGACACTCGAAAACAGCCAAGACAAGAGATAAACCAGAACTAAAACAAGGATTATACCAGTGCTTGTGAACATAGGCTACAGCCTATGTTCTCATTCTACCGTGACTGGATAGTCCTGCAAACGTGATCGCTGATACAGAAGTACCGGTTAACGATGTGATCCTTGAGCATTTACAGCTGTAATCTGACGCCTCTGGAGGGTCTTGGGACACAGAGATGCTGCGGAGTTGCATTCATGTTGGAGAACTTTATACAAAAAGCTGTTAAAGCCCGCCCACAACTTCCACCTTGCATTTTTGCCACTGCAAGGCAATACATCAGACTTTCTAAACTCATGAGGCTGAAGTTAATCAAATAACTGGGAATGAGGAACTTGCTTTGGACAAATAACCGCCACATATTGATCCATTTCATATTGCTGCACTCATTTCTGCTCTTTCTGATTGGTTCCAGATCCTTTGAAACTAGAAACTAAAAAATAAAAATATATCGTGTTTGTGTGTGTGTGTGTGTGTGTTTAAAGAGACTGCACTTTATATTTCCCCATGAAGTTGAGTCCCAGATTCTTTATTTTATTTGTACTGATTAATTTAGTATGATTTATTCAGTGCAATCGGTAAAGTGGAAAAGAGACATGGAACATTGCAAAATAGTTTGGAAATAGGAATAAGATGGTGTACTGCCTCCAGAAGGTTTATAGCTGTTAAAGTTGTAATGGGCAGCAATGAGCAATTCATACCTCCTGTGTTAATCGTTTTTGTGAGTGATTCCTATATTACAGAGTCAGCAGGGTGCAATGGCGTCTCACATATATGATTATATAAATTACTCAAACAGCATGAATCACTCAAACAACTTTGAGTGTGCAATTGACAAGGGAAAACAACTGGTCAAGCTGTGAAGTCCATTTTACGTGTCATGTCCCCTTTGAGTAACAAAATATGCCATTATATCCATCTAGAAACATCCGCACAGCATGTAAAGTGATGTTTAAATCCTACAAAATGTATGCTGTGGGCAACGTGTTACAGACAGAGCCAAGGGAGGATATCAAATCGAGATGTTGTACTCACCATCTTCTTTGCATTCCTCTGGCGGTTTGGCCTTCTTGGCCAGCCGCGGGTCCAGCCACGATGTTGTCTTGGTGTTGTGGCTGTAAGGAGACGGAGTGAGAGTGTGATAGATGGAAAGCAGCACAAGACTTGGCAGCAAAAGGGAACAAGGTTGGTGGATTCTTAGTTCAGTCGCAGAGCCATTTCACAAAGCAAAGATGAGCCTCCCTGGTGGTGTGACTGAGCCTAAAAGATGTTGAGGAAGACGGGGCGTATTATAAAAACGTCTTAGGTTAACAAAATGGGAATCAATAGAGTTAATTTGCTCACTGGCAGTCATTAGCTGGGAGGGGGAAGAGATAGCAGGGAGTTCAGCCATGATAGAGGAAAACAGCTGCGCGGCTGGCCTTATTGAGCTGAGATTGTACATCAGAAATGATACTGTACCAGGCAAAATCTATGCATCTAAAAAAATAAGTATTTTACAACTGACGTGCTGAGAGAAAGCCTGTACAAAAAGTGTAAACGTGTAACAAAAGTTCAATAGTAAAAATTTACTTTGTGATGAGGTCTCTTAAATTGAATATATGTGTTCATATTGTTCATATTTGTAAAGTCAAAGTTGGGGCTTGAATTTAAAACTTCCATGACCTGATATCTAAGATCACTGTTACAAGTTAGGGATTTCGAATGATGCTTACAATGAGAATTGATCCTTGAATGTGATCAATTCACATGGATAATATGTTTACTTTTCAGTTGGGGTGGAGGTATAGAAGAATGGCCAACATGCCATTCAACCACTGTGTCCTTACTGAGCATAATTCCTCAATTACAGAACTTCGGACAATAATTCAACATTTAGTGTAAAATATGCACTTCACTAACTTCTCTGCCATCACCTGCCACTAATAATTTCATTGGCTAAGATTCACTTTCAATCCATTTCTCTTTGATGCAAATATGGAGACCAATCAAAGCATTCGTTTGGCAGCAGCTAACACGTTTGGCACGGTAGCACTATAACACACAAGCTTAGGGGAAAAAAACAGAAATGTCAACATTCCAATTGAGAATCAGCTGACATAATTGTGTTGTACTTGGATTTTATTTCAGTGTAAGTAGAGGATGCAGAGGAGTAAATCAAAAGAGATATTGTCTGTGCATACAAACTTTAATTCCTTTGTGAGAATAACTTCTGCTTTATGTGGAAGTAACTCCAGGCTACATTCAACAAATCTGTAAGGTCAGTTTCAACTATTTTTGTGAGACTCTACTTTTGACGACTCCACAGTGGTCTTCTTGCGTAGACCCCTGTGAACCTGTGACTTTAAAGGTCCCATATTTTGATTTTCTTCATTGTACACAGTCCATCCTATGCACATGTGTGATAATACATAGTGTTTTTGGTTGATACATCATACCACACTCAAAACTAGTCAAATTATAGCCATTTCGTGCATAGGGTTACTATGCACGAAAAAACACTTGGATCTGTGCTGCCTGTGAGCCCGCCTCCCAGGCAGCTGTTACGTTGTAATTTCACACCTTACAATAAACTTTTTTGTCACATAGAGCCCTATGTCCTTGATCTAGAACCAGACCTAATTCTTTAGTTCACAGTGACATTCGGCAAATCAGTTGTATTGTACTCAAAGACTGAAGCTCCTGTTAGTGTCTTTTATGTTGGAATAACACCATGTTTCCAGATCAGCTTTTGAGTAGGTCCAGTTTCAATGTAACCGTAGTTCCTGGAACAGCCTTTGGTGGTGTCCCCGTCACTCGCAAAGAAACATTTGCGAGTTTTGTCAAAATTTTCAGACTCGCAGATACCAAATAAATATTTACACATTTACACAACACATTTTCTCCAAGTTGACAAGAAGCTAACACACAAAAGCACAGATGCTTATTTACTGTCTATGAACCACACGCTGGACTCGGAGAGAGGCTGTAGCTGACCATAGACGACGCTGATTCGCTGGTTTCTCCCCGCTGTCAATCACCTCTTGGAGGTGGGCTTTTGACATTACGGATTGGTGCACGTCACGATGTGAAACAGCTCGTTTCTGTGCCTCTCGAGAATGAAAGAGAAAGAACGCTCTCTCACAAAAGCTTGATATAATCAATGAAAAAACTACTCTAGACAACACTGGCATTTCCTCACTGTGGAACGAATAAAGGGTCTCTTAATCTTTAAATTGAAGACATGTTTCAAGACATGATTCCTAGTCTTGCACTGACTGCAGCTGAATATTGTGATCCGCAAACACAGAGTATATGGAGAGGACAATTTTTATTTCAAATCTGCAAAATTGTCAACTTTACATACCTAACCTTACATAGAAAAAGAGATGAGCTTCCCCAGGAAAGGATTGAAAGATCAGCTAATGCGTCAGGCGCACTTCCAAGCCATCAAAATAAATTCTGGATCCAGGTGGTGATCAGGATCATATGGGTTTGGATTATACTTTTTTCCTCATAACTTATTGGTGAGGCATCTTTCCAGCACTACGGCCCCCGACTCTGGAACCGTCTGCCGGAGGAGCTCAAGGCCACAGAGAACATTCATATTTTTAAAGGCAGGCTCAAGACGCACCTTTTTAGATTGGCTTTGGATTAGTATTTATTATTTATAATTGTGTTTTAGTTAATTTATTTATATTTTTAGACACATTTTGTTTTGGTTTTATTTATTTATTTAATCTATTTTGTCATTTACTATTGTTATTATTAATATTAAGTAGCTGCCATTTTCTTTTTAGTTTAAAAAAACATTTTAGTTTAGTAAAACATTTTAATGTTTTACTTTTTATTGTATTGTTTTAGTATGCCCAGTGTTTCCACTGGAGGTGCCCTTTGCACTGCGAGCTGAGGTCTGCTGTGGCTGAGGGGGTCTGGCTCTTGGATCTAGTGGGGGTCTGGTTTGGGTTTAGGGCTGGGCATATTAGATTGTTTTAACTAAACAGTAAAGCACTTTGTGTTGCATTTTTTGTATGAAAAGCAATTTATAAATTAAATTTGATTGATTGATTGATTGATATTTATTTATCTGGGTGTTTCACGCTTTGTGCACTTCAGAACAGGAGCTCAGAATTGAGACAATGAAGACATTGAATGAAGATTTTTGGAGAGGACATATCAGACATCATTACGGAGGTTGTATTTGGTTTGATGAGGAACTGATAAAACACAATCTTGCAATAATGTGCAATAACGCTTAACCCTATCTAAACCAGGCTTTATATGGGCTTCCTGGGCCCAGGGGTGGGCTCTTTAAGTTCCCCCTAATAACTAAAGAATGGTATATCCTATCTCCACCAAATGTTGTACAATCTACAAGCAAAACTGTACCTATTTTGAAATTATGATGACTTGATATGACGTCCTAATCTGTTCTTACTGCCCAAATGTCATAATATTACTATTTTCCTACAGAATTATGCATCTCAATTTCACTGTTTCCGTGCCTGAATATGGTAAAGTAGCTTAAATCTTTCATAACTTCTCCCTATATTTGCCGGGCATGATGTTCAAACATACAGTCATCAAAAATACATAATTATTACATTATTGATAAACTCCAATTAACAAAGCTGACACATACTTTAGTAAAGTTATATTAAAATAAGGGAATATGAGTATATGTTAAGGGCAAAATAGGGAAAGCACATTGATGAACTGTAGATCAGTGATTTTGGGACAGACATACCTGACAGAAAACCTGTCATGGATACGGAAAAAGCGTTGAAGTTAAACCTTTGGTAAAAATATTGTAGCCAACTTAATTTGAGGAAAAGTTTGATTTGTAGTTGTAGCAATAGTTGTGAATATATTACAGTACATGAAAGTTCTGTAATATAACCCCCCGGGGTAGATAGGGTTAAATGAACACATTAATTTGGCTTGAAACTTGGTGTTTGAGCCTGCCCTGCTCCCTCCCTCTGGTGCACCAAAAGTCGGAGTCAGATTTCCAGGGTAAGAGACGTACAAAGCCGGGAATTGCATTAGCTCCCCAACCCCAGAAGAGGTAATGAAGTAAACTGCCTTATGCACTCACTCAATAAAGTAGACTTCTCCCTTCTCGGTGTAGGCCATCTCCCAGTTGTCCGGCAGAGGCCCTAACTCGGCGTTGTCCTCTGGTTTGGCCAGTGTGAGTTGGGGGGACTGTTTGTCATCCTTGGAGCCCTCGGAGATGGTGTCTGGTGCAGGGGTGGTCTGCGCTGCATCGGGGTCTCCTGGTGCCTCGGTGCTCTTTTCCTCATGTTCACTGGACTCTGAAGTGACAGAATAGGACAGAACAAGTCAAACATTTTCACTTCAGTTACACAGAGCTGTCAAGGAGAGTGACATGTGGAGAGGAAGACGGAGGGATAGAGGTGAGACGGACAACATTTTTGATTTAGATGGATGCCCTAAGGGCAAAACCAAGAGATGTATTGTTTTAAAGGAATTATGTGCAGAGTTATAACTAATTCAATAATTATCAAAGAAAACCTCAGAATGTTTTGGAAAGTAGATCATGGTACCCAAAAGTGACGAGAAGCTGCCTCATTTAGTCTTCGCCACTGGTTGTGTCGAATAAAAAAACTTGAAACTAGGGTGGCTGAGCTTAACCGGTATTACAATAATCCCGATTATAAAAGCCTAGATGGCACGGTTCTAGCACGAGGTGCAACGTTAAGCACGGGTCACTGCACACACGGCGCAGCGCAGACTCACCAATAAATTGGCAGGACAAGCTCCCCAAGAGTTGTATCCACCAAAAAAACAACTTAAGTCAGCAGTGTGGGATCACTTTGGGTATCCAAAAGATGAGCAAAGTGTTGTTGTCACTTATGGATTTCCAATGTGCAAAGCCTGTCGTCGGAAAGTGGCAGCGAAAGGGGCCAATACAAACATGATACAACACCTTCCAGATAATCATCCTTTGCTGTATGTCCAAGTCAAGGTAATAAAACGGCATAATTGTCAATAAAGGTGTGCAAACGTTCATAAATAAGCACCAAAACTGTCTCAGGGTGCAGTCTTCTCTGCTTCTTCATATCAAAAGTGAAAGTACTAGTATGATGATGGCAACTACTAATACTACTGAAAAACAATTAGGCTATTGAATTTCCAACAATAATTTATTTTGTAAAGAGTTTAAAAGACAAAATCAAAGAATCTGAGTCTATTTTCTTTCATAATTCCGATAATCATGATTTTCTCTCAAAATAATCCTGACTCAAAAATCTGAAATTGTGGCAACCCTACTTGTAACATGTATTTAGTTTCTCCCAAAAACTGCAGAGGCAGATCTCACATCACTAATTGTACATAAATTCAGTGGAGATGAACCGAAACTGAACAGGGGCAAACTGAGCGATAATCTATGAGATGAAAAGATCAGACAGGTTCACATGATACGTACGGACTCCTCAGCTCCCATGGTCATCACGCGCTGCTTTGAGCACAGCGGGGCCCCCTGCAGGCCCCTGGGTCCAAGATAGAACTTTGTGCTCATTGATGCTTTGTTAACTAAATCTGGCAACAGCAGAATACCAGGAAATAATTGATTTTTACTTCACCTACAAATTAAGGAACTCTGGGTGCACAATATATTTACAGCAACTTGGCTTTACGTTTAAGCATGTTTAATTAGTTAATTAGTGTTTTTAAATTCTAAATACTCATTTGCTAAAAAAAATTATTATGATTCTTTATTTTACAATTATTATATTACGATTTTGGGAACTCTATGATGAATAGAAAAAATGATGAAAACAGATGTCCTTTTTTATCTAAAAATGATCTGAACAGAAAGAGAAAATCCGCACAGATAAGTGGCTCCCAAGTGTCTTTTATTTACAGACCACATGAATGTATCAGACCCTAAGTGTGATGTTTATAAAATATGTGTATATTTGTACAAATTGCATTTATCACATGACCAGTCTTAGCCCAAAATGAGACACTTGTGGTTTGTAAATAAAAGACACTTGGGAGCAACATAGCTGTGTGGATTTTTCTATTTTTTCCACTTAGCCAGAGCGAGAACAGAGAATTATCTGTGGACCTCTAAACATCATCAAAAATGGTCTAGATCGCTGGGACTCTCAACCAAATTTGCTGAAAATAGCCCTTTATTTTATAAACTTTATAAAACAGCCTTTGAAGCCGCATTGGTGAAACAATAATACGGCTTGTAATGGTTCAGATTAGCCATTATCACCATTTGGTTAGGAAGCAGAAGGATAAAATAACTTTTGCCCGTAGTTTCTTGCCATAAGAAAAACAAATCCTACCTTCCTTTAGCTTCCTCTGGTGGAAAAGCCGAAACTTCATCCTTTACCATCAAAGATTTATGATTCCTAATCCTTGCTCCAAATGAAACATGCAGTGAAATCCTCTCCTCCATACTGAAGTGTATGCAGTGCTGTCTGATGTGACTGTGTTACGACCCTAAGTTCAGGTCATAAAAGCAGTGTTGAAAGTCACAGGACTGGAGCATGGTTTTAGAATTGAAATGAGAAAAAAAAAAACTGTAATAATACACTCTTTGAATAACGCGTGTCCATGTGACTGCGTCTCGCAGTCCCAGGCTCGAGTGTCAGTATCTTTTAAAAGTAAAAATTTAAAAACAACTTTAACTGTGCAAATATTACTATTTAAAATGAATCATGCACATGAGAGTTATGAGAGCTGTTCCTGCCATCAGCAAAGTTAAACATCTGTTTTTGATGTGAAACAAAAATTAAACAGAGGAGCACTGCAGTGAGCTAAATTATCAAGTTTCTGAAATGTCTATTTGTACAGTTGGCCTGAGGTAACATTACAGAAAACAATCAAACAAAAACAGGTAATTTCCAACTCTAGAGACATGAAACTCCCACATCATAGTAACACACGTCATTATTTCAGTCCATTCAATATGAGAAACAAACCTTTTTTTGTTAACCCATCTTAAATTATTTTCCAATATGAGTAAATCTCATTACCTTGAATATATGCTGTTATCAGGCCACTACTCCCCGGTCGAGCTCTCATATGCCCTAAATGTTGTGTCTCGACTCATGGCTAAGAAGTGGCCACAAACGTCCATACTTTCCTCTATCATCTTTTTCTCTACATTAGTAAAACTTTATAGCGCTCCTGACCGTGGGTCACTCATATTTCTTTGTGGAAAATCATTTTTCTTTATCATTAGCAATACAAGTATTATGTCTCTTAGTGTTCTTCTTCTATCTTAATAAAAATGAAAAGGCTGATAGTAATAGTATCTGCCAACCCACCCCATGGACACAGCATGGCTATTTTTAGACCGGGCTGAGTTCAGTGAAAAATATCACAAAACTAAACTTTCTACACTAAATCTCTCCGACCTTCAGGTTTGTATGGGACTAATAGTTCAAGAAAACTCCCTGATTTTGGGCCAAAAAAGAACAATTTGTTTGTTATTTGTTCACCATGAATCATTTCTATGGGGTGTCCAGAACAGTATATCAAAAATCCAAGCTGAACCTCAAAACGAATGAAATATACCCAAACCGTCTACGTATGGATTATTGCATCTTTAATCTAGTCTAACCCTCATATCCTGCTCATACATACTTTAAATACATTTTCAGAGCTCTAATAGTGTGGACATCACAGTCACCGTGCAGGCTGACCTGGGGTGACGACCACACAGTTGCCGTTGACAATGGGCCTCTCCTCCTCGTCCTCCTCCGGAGGCTCGATGCTAGCCTTCTCCATGTTGCTGACGGACTTGTTGCGCCTCCTCTTGCCCTCAGAGCTGGGTCTGGCGCCGGGAAGCAGCTGGTCTGTTACATTTAGCAGCAGCGAGATGGGCTCGATGGGAGGTTTTGGGGTGCCATAGAAGTTATCTAAAGGGAAAAATAAAAAGTGCAAGTACAGGTAATGGAATGTTGATATTTTGATCCTTTATTGACACTAATGAACTTTAGGGTCTAATCAAGTGATGTTGTATGTTGTATTTATTGTTTTTTTCTTGTATGTTATTGAGTATTTATGTATAAAGTGTGTGCGCGCGCCGCGGACACAAGTGCATACACACACACTCTTTAGTAACGAGTGTAAGAGCGCTGAGAAATTAATGAATGAGAATGAAAGAATGAAAAGCGTACGAGCAGATACAAGTGTGTGTGTGTTCTGGCGATTAAATGAAGACTGATTCTTGAATGTCTGAAGTGTTATTGCAATAGCACCACACTGAGCCCACATTGCACCTAAAGTCCGGATCTAATTGAGAAGTGGGCCCTGGCTTTAGGGTGCGCATGTGACAGCAGCTTCAGTGAGAGCATAGCCTTGATCTTTCAGTGGGGGCTTCAGGCAAAGTGGGGTTAAGTGTCTTGCCCAAGGACACAACAACAACAGACATCAGTGGGAGTCAATGGAGAAGGGCTCTTGGTTGCCTCGACCCCACGACCTTCAGGCTCAAAGGCCAATGCTCTACTATCTGAGCCTGTCACTGTTTTTTTTTTTTAAAGCGTCTCAACTAAAATGGAATTCTGTGTCTCCTTGTCTCAATCTCTGATGATGAGCTGAAAACCTTGACTTCATCAGGGCAAGATTTTTTTTTGTCACTAGTAAAATAAAAAGAAATAAACAGAAGAATAACCTTGATAATTTAGTGAAGGATGTTTTGTCAAAGAAAGTAACAGAGCATTGCTAAGGGTTTGAGGGTCCTGAATCTCCCACCAGACTGTGGATGGAGGCTTCACTCCCTGCCCTCAGGAAAGTGTATAACGACATATCTGCTGAAAGGTACATAAGAATTTCACTGCATATCTAAAGTGTATATGAATAATGAACTTCAAACATTGGAACTTCTTCCAATTTGAAAAGCGTCCAACGCGAATGACGGCAAACCTTCAGATTTGTCATTGCTTCTGGTCCTCAAGAATTAACGTGGTAGATTGGGACAAAGAGAGAGGCAGGTTATCTGGAGTGTGTGTGTGTGTTTTTGGCCATGTGTGTGCATGTGTGTGACAGAGAGAAAAAGAGAGAGAGAAAAATGTGTTATCAACGTAATGGTAGAGGTCTCAGAGAGTTCCGGGAGAACAGGCAGCGTATTTATCAATGGTCTGCATTTTTTCAGTCCTCTGAAAAGTCCTCTGCCGCAGGCTTGTTTGACAACAGTAGAGCCAGGATAGAGAGTATGTTTATTGTTATTACTGAAGATCACCACACACGAACGGACTTCGGGGTCGAGTCCAGAGAGAGTGGACATGAAGAGGCCCCTTGGGTGCATGTTTCTGGTGTCTTCATTCACATTTTACAGAAGCGCACGGCCCCCAGCTGCTCCAGAAGGAGTACCTTCGCTGTCTGCAGCAAGCCGAAAGATGGATGGGGCGGAAGAGCTGTTGTGTATGGCAGGAGTTATGGGCCTGTATTCCCAATCTTTCAAAACCTTGTCAGTCAGTCTGAAAATTGCTACTGATACACATCACTGCCACATCTGACTGGAGACACTATTAAGAATAATACTTGGAATGTTAAGGCCAGTATTTTTCAACTGAGCAGTGACTAGACGGTTTGATTTTCTATTTAATACACTTTGATCAGAATGACTTTGCATTGTTCATAACGGCTGCAGTCATTATTTTTGTATCCGTTTTAGCTGGTGGTGTAGCATGTAATTGATTTAAAAGAAAAAAGTGTGCCACAGCTCAAAAAGGTTGGAGAGTACTAGTTCAGGCGGATATGGCCTGAGGTTTATTATCCTTCTATTTTGGATATACATACGGGTTTTAGTTTATCTTATAAGTTACATTTTGAGATATAATTACAATGGCTTTGATTAGTCTACAATATATATATTTTGAGATGTGTTTTTTTAAACTTTCACATGCTTCCATCACCAACTTAAACTCATTTTGTTCACTTTACAACATGTATTTAGTACACTTCATTAGGGCTGAAACAACTAATCAATTAATCAACGACTAATCGATTATTGAAATAGTCGACAACTATTTTATTAATCGATTAATCGTTTTCTGGTTCACACGGACTCAAACAGAGCAAAAATTACATGAAAATGTAGTATTTTTGATTAAAACCGACTTTGTTTTTATAATTTCATGAATATCTGTCTGTCTCATCCAATCAGATAGCAGAATTAGCACAAAGAGCCTGTTACAAACATTTACTTTAAGTTTACGCCATCTATACGTCCTCGAGTGTTGCCACTTTAGCTTTTTGTGATGAAAAAATTAATTTTTTCTACACAATTCACAGCCAAGCGATTACTCGATTAATCGTAAAAATAATCGATAGATTAATCGATTACAAAATAATTGTTAGTTGCAGCTCTACACTTCATATTTCGGTAACACTTTACATTACGGGCCGGTAAGTCCATGGTACTTACAGTGGTACTTCTAGGTACTTACAGTGGTACTTCTAGGTACTTACAGTGGTACTTACGGTGGTACTTACGGTGGTACTTACGGTGGTACTTACGGTGGTACTTACGGTGGTACTTACGGTGGTACTTACGGTGGTACTTCTAGGTACTTACAGTGGTACTTCTAGGTACTTACGGTGGTACTTACGGTGGTACTTACGGTGGTACTTACGGTGGTACTTACGGTGGTACTTACGGTGGTACTTACGGTGGTACTTACAGTGGTACTTACGGTGGTACTTACGGTGGTACTTACGGTGGTACTTACGGTGGTACTTACGGTGGTACTTCTAGGTACTTACAGTGGTACTTCTAGGTACTTACGGTGGTACTTACGGTGGTACTTACGGTGGTACTTACGGTGGTACTTACGGTGGTACTTACGGTGGTACTTACGGTGGTACTTACAGTGGTACTTACGGTGGTACTTACGGTGGTACTTACGGTGGTACTTCTAGGTACTTACAGTGGTACTTCTAGGTACTTACGGTGGTACTTACGGTGGTACTTACGGTGGTACTTACGGTGGTACTTACAGGGGTACTTACGGTGGTACTTACGGTGGTACTTACGGTGGTACTTACAGTGGTACTTACAGTGGTACTTACAGTGGTACTTACAGTGGTACTTCTAGGTACTTCTAGGTACTTACAGTGGTACTTCTAGTGGTACTTCTAGGTACTTATTGTGGTACTTACAGTGGTACTTCTAGGTACTTACAGTGGTACTTAGAGGTACTTATTGTGGTACTTACAGTGGTACTTCTAGGTACTTATTGTGATAATTCTAGATACAGCTGTAACTTAGTAATTCAAGGATACTACAGCATTATTCCTATGTAGTAAATGTGGTACTTCTACATACATACATACAGAGGTCATTTGTAGGATTGTTTGACTATAAAACATAAAACAACATTATGTAAAACAAACGTCTTTATTAATATGGAATAAGTAGCTCAGAAAGGACAGTATAAATACATTTAATGCATATTTCAAAACAAGTTTCAAGGACAAGGGAAACACTGCAAGAACTAGGTACCCAACCCAAGTAACAAGAATTACACATTACCAGGTACTTACCAGGCAAGTACCAGGTACTTACCAGCCAAGTACCAGGTACTTACCAGCAAGTACCAGGTACTTACCAGCAAGTACCAGGTACTTAACAGCAAGTACCAGGTACTTACCATAGGGACTGGCCCATAATAAGACAAAGGACTTTAACATAAGTACCAGTGATAACACCAGTAATTATACAGTAAGTACCAGGTACTTACCATAGGGACTGGCCCATAATAAGACAAAGGACTTTAACATAAGTACCAGTGATAACACCAGTAATTATATAGTAAGTACCAGGTACTTACCATAGGAACTGGCCCATAATAAGAAAAAGGACTTACCCATAAGTACTAGTGATACCAGTAATTATATAGTATACCATGTACTTACCAGCAAGTACCATGTACTTACCAGCAAGTACCAGGTACTTACCATAGGGACTGGCCCATAATAAGACAAAGGACTTTAACATAAGTACCAGTGATAACACCAGTAATTAATACAGTGAGTACCAGGTACTTACCATAGGGACTGGCCCATAATAAGACAAAGGACTTTAACATAAGTACCAGTGATAACACCAGTAATTATATAGTAAGTACCAGGTACTTACCATAGGAACTGGCCCATAATAAGACAAAGGACTTACCCATAAGTACTAGTGATACCAGTAATTATATAGTATACCATGTACTTACCAGCAAGTACCATGTACTTACCAGCAAGTACCAGGTACTTACCAGCAAGTACCAGGTACTTACCAGCCAAGTACCAGGTACTTACCAGCAAGTACCAGGTACTTACCAGCAAGTACCAGGTCCTTACCAGCCAAGTACCAGGTACTTACCAGCAAGTACCAGGTACTTAACAGCAAGTACCAGGTACTTACCAGCAAGTACCAGGTACTTACCAGCAAGTACCAGGTACTTACCAGCAAGTACCAGGTACTTAACAGCAAGTACCAGGTACTTACCAGCAAGTACCAGGTACTTACCATAGGGACTGGCCCATAATAAGACAAAGGACTTTAACATAAGTACCAGTGATAACACCAGTAATTATACAGTAAGTACCAGGTACTTACCATAGGAACTGGCCCATAATAAGACAAAGGACTTTAACATAAGTACCAGTGATAACACCAGTAATTATATAGTAAGTACCAGGTACTTACCATAGGAACTGGCCCATAATAAGACAAAGGACTTACCCATAAGTACTAGTGATACCAGTAATTATATAGTATACCATGTACTTACCAGCAAGTACCTGGTACTTGCTGTTAAGTACCTGGTACTTGCTGGTAAGTACCTGGTACTTGCTGGTAAGTACCTGGTACTTGCTGGTAAGTACCTGGTACTTGCTGGTAAGTACCTGGTACTTGCTGGTAAGTACATGGTATACTATATAATTACTGGTATCACTAGTACTTATGGGTAAGTCCTTTGTCTTATTATGGGCCAGTTCCTATGGTAAGTACCTGGTACTTACTATATAATTACTGGTGTTATCACTGGTACTTATGTTAAAGTCCTTTGTCTTATTATGGGCCAGTCCCTATGGTAAGTACCTGGTACTTACTGTATAATTACTGGTGTTATCACTGGTACTTATGTTAAAGTCCTTTGTCTTATTATGGGCCAGTCCCTATGGTAAGTACCTGGTACTTGCTGGTAAGTACATGGTACTTGCTGGTAAGTACATGGTATACTATATAATTACTGGTATCACTAGTACTTATGGGTAAGTCCTTTGTCTTATTATGGGCCAGTTCCTATGGTAAGTACCTGGTACTTACTATATAATTACTGGTGTTATCACTGGTACTTATGTTAAAGTCCTTTGTCTTATTATGGGCCAGTCCCTATGGTAAGTACCTGGTACTTACTGTATAATTACTGGTGTTATCACTGGTACTTATGTTAAAGTCCTTTGTCTTATTATGGGCCAGTCCCTATGGTAAGTACCTGGTACTTGCTGTTAAGTACCTGGTACTTGCTGTTAAGTACCTGGTACTTGCTGGTAAGTACCTGGTACTTGCTGGTAAGTACCTGGTACTTGGCTGGTAAGTACCTGGTAATGTGTAATTCTTGTTACTTGGGTTGGGTACCTAGTTCTTGCAGTGTTTCCCTTGTCCTTGAAACTTGTTTTGAAATATGCATTAAATGTATTTATACTGTCCTTTCTGTGCTACTTATTCCATATTAATAAAGACGTTTGTTTTACATAATGTTGTTTTATGTTTTATAGTCAAACAATCCTACAAATGACCTCTGTATGTATGTATGTAGAAGTACCACATTTACTACATAGGAATAATACTGTAGTGTCCTTGAATTACTAAGTTACAGCTGTATCTAGAATTATCACAATAAGTACCTAGAAGTACCACTGTAAGTACCACAATAAGTACCTCTAAGTACCACTGTAAGTACCTAGAAGTACCACTGTAAGTACCACAATAAGTACCTAGAAGTACCACTAGAAGTACCACTGTAAGTACCTAGAAGTACCACTGTAAGTACCACTGTAAGTACCACTGTAAGTACCACCGTAAGTACCACCGTAAGTACCACCGTAAGTACCCCTGTAAGTACCACCTTAAGTACCACCGTAAGTACCACCGTAAGTACCACTAAGTACCACCGTAAGTACCACTGTAAGTACCACTGTAAGTACCACCGTAAGTACCACCGTAAGTACCACCGTAAGTACCACCGTAAGTACCACTGTAAGTACCACTGTAAGTACCACCGTAAGTACCACCGTAAGTACCACCGTAAGTACCACCGTAAGTACCACCGTAAGTACCTAGAAGTACCACTGTAAGTACCTAGAAGTACCACTGTAAGTACCACTGTAAGTACCACTGTAAGTACCACCGTAAGTACCACCGTAAGTACCACCGTAAGTACCACCGTAAGTACCACCGTAAGTACCACTGTAAGTACCTAGAAGTACCACTGTAAGTACCTAGAAGTACCACTGTAAGTACCATGGACTTACCGGCCCGTAATGTAAAGTGTTACCCATATTTCATAGTTACATTATTAATTTCAATATTATTGCTTAGGTGCACAGTATGAATAGTATATTTGAACACTTTGATGGATCAAGCTCCTCTATTGAGGTCATTTCCACAGTGAGAAAGCAAAAAGTCCATCAAATTATAATCCTTTATTCACTTTATACTTGACCTTACATCTGAGAGTCGCCGCTGAACTAGACGCTGTCATAAAGAGCTGGTGATAATAATTACATGCAGTGTGAAGCGTCACTCGACTAAATCCTTACCTTCATATGTTCCACTTTCTAGCAGGGCGCCACTTTTCTCCAATTCCATAAACCGGTCAACGGTCACAAAATTATAGTCCACTCCCGGGACCTCTCCTTCCTTGGGCTGCCTGGTTGTGCCTGCAGTAGATAAGAGAGAGAAGAGAGAGAAACAGTCAAGGCCTGCAGAGCACCTCAGGACAACGGAAGGGCTGACTGAAGAAAACAATAGAGGATTTGGGCTTTAAAATTGTGTTACACTGGTGGCTGGAACATATAGCAGTTATCCTCATCAAAACAGAAAGAAAAATACGGTATTTTCAAACCAAATCCCAATGCCCCTAAAAAAGGCTGGATCACAAAACAACCTTCTGACATGGTTCTTTATTTCATCTTTAAATCACTGAAGAAACCTCATTCACAGCTTGTGGAGGATGGCAGCAGTTATTCAGGACAGTGGCTGTGACCCTGCGGAGTTCAGTGACAGTCTTCTTTGTCCTTCAATATTTATGCTTGTTGCCCAGTTTGTAATGCATTTCACTGCAGTATATGTTTCTGAGGGGGTGGCACACGGATAGGTGGATAAGTGATGTAATTTGAACACCAAGCAAAGTAATCTAATCCATTTGCACTGCACTGACGAGCGAGACAAAGAGCATCTGACAAGAGCTGCCATTCTGTCACTTGACTGCAATGCACAAGTGTTAAAAATACTATCACTGTAAAATCACAATTTATAGCCGGCTTAAGCTGACTCAACAATACTCGCTGCTACCTGAAATCCTAAGCACTTGTTAGATACTGTCATGGATGTGCTCTGATGAGACTTGCCAACAGCCCAGTGCAATTTCATAAGTGAATCAGTGGGTGCTTTGTGTTAACAGAGGAGCATGTAAACTGTAAACAGCCTGCGTATGACCTTTGAGTCCAGAAGGGGAAACTCACATCAGCTCAAATGTGCAGCATATTCACAGTTATGTTGGGACGTACCGTTTAGTCCCTGGAGGTTCTAACATCACATGTGCCGACATGAGAAATGACTGACTGAGCTCAAATGAGAAAATGAGCGCGGAGTAAACTATGTGCTGGTGGAACAGTATTGTGCTGTCGTGTGGCACCTCCAGAAGAGAGTCTGTGTCGGTATGTCGCCTGTAGTTGTTAGATTAACATCCCTCATGGTGCAAATGGGGACCTTTGATGTTGCAGGGCTAAATTTAGCTACATTCTGGTGAGGACTTTTCTTGGGCGACACTGAAAACGGAAAACAAGCCACAATGTCTGTACATTAGTGTACACAGATTTTAGAATGGACTGCAATATCACTCCATTTCAAACTACACTTAAGGGATGCAGAATGTGAGCATTGGAGGTGCATTCAGTCCCAAGTGAAACAAATAAAGTATATAATTATTAATGCTAACACACTGTAGGTGTTCGCTACATCAATGCATGTACAGTTCACAGTAAAGGCAGGTTTGTAAGAGTGGAGGGTGATGGGTGTCCTGAGGTGAACAGTTTGTCAAATATGGTTTTAACAAAGCTATGATTGGAGCAAATAAAGGTGAAGTGTGATGTCAATGAGAGGAAAGAACATTGAACCTTCAATGACCCCTCTCATTTGTAAGGAGGTCACAGCCCGCTGCAGCTCCTGTCCAGATTTACATAGTCCTTTGATCTGCTGCTTAGTATACACAATAATGTATGCAGAAGTTAAAATGTTCTTGTTTACAATTCAAAATTAAAACAATCACCTGCCATCCAATATTTCAGTATTTTTGTTTTTATTTTAGAGGGGCTCTTAAACTCTTTGAGCAGGTGAAAAGTCATCATACTCATGCATCATACTCAGGGGCCAAAGTCCAGCACAGTTAAGTGAGGCTCGAGACGTGTAGAAGACACTGACCCACGGTGGAATGTTGTGGAAGACTCTGTACGAGGTGCGGAGGGAAGTGGTGGAGGAGTTGTTTGGTTTTGTGTGCCTCAGGCTCACTGACGTCCTTGATAGTATAAAAAAGCATCAGGTTTCACATTAAAACAATTCCTGACATTTTGTGAATGCAGCCCTGTGATGAAAAGTAAAAAAGAATATAAATAAAAAATGACCATGCAGCAGCTGTGAAGTAAATGTCAAGCTTCTGAGCTCAAATATATATTTTCAGTCGATTGCATCAAATTTGTCTATGTCTCAAAGAAACAAAATGTACCTTCAGTATTTTCAATGTTCCAACAATATAGTTCTATTGAGGATTAAATTCCCTGCATTTCAATGACTTCAATACATATTAGCTAGGAATATTTGTCTTTGGGTGAAATGTATGCGAAATGGGAAAAGTTGAAAGAACCTCCTCTACCTCAGTATCATCAATTAGGAGAATTTTTCATAGTAAACAATTTTAATGAAACTAAAATCCACATGATATTATAAATATGAAACCAAATTTGATCAAACGATTCTAAACAAGATCTCATCATTTGTTAACCACCAGCTTGAACGAGCCTAAATTTACATAGCAGCTTCCCTCAGTGACTCTCCCCTTTCACAGCCCGGTTTAATTATTCTCAGACACACAATCACCTCGACTTATTAATGACAAACAAATTTCCACCACAGAAACAAGATTGCCTTTGGGGTTTGGCTTTTTCAGAGTATAATTTTCTGCTCTTGCTGACTGGTGTGGACCAGCCGCGACTGAGCCGCTGCCGTGTGAGCTTGAGCGGATGGCACCCAGCGTTTATTTATTTCCCTTAATTTCTTGTCTTGGGATCTACCAAACACTTCATGAAACATAAAGTTATTCCATGGTTTAATCCTATTTTTTGCCTGATTGAAATATAGCATTGCTTTAGACTGTTACTGTTTTGATCTTGGTTTGTTCTGGAAAATAGTGGTTCTTTGATAATTTGTCTTTCATCTCTGATGCTCTAATTAGTCCCGTTACGACAGATTTATAGACTTTGTTATTTACCTCTGTTATAGTTTTAAACATTAATTCTGGCTTTTACATTTTTTCAAATTGGAGAGGGAGAAATTAAGCACCCAGGGCCACCTTCAGGTATCACCACCACCCAACCAACCCCCTCCCATGAGTAACTAAGGAAAATGTGACCAAATCCGACCACAACATGCTGTCTTATCTTATTTGTAAAGCATACTTTGAGTGTCCAAAAAAGTGCTGTATGAAACTTTATTATGATTATGTTAGACATGTCATTATTCATATCACCCATACAGGTGATAAACTACTACTGTAAGCCACAGCAGCCCTGGGCACACTGACAAAGCAAGGCAACCAGTATGTGCCAGCGGCCCCCCCACCACCACCAACCATTCACACACACACCAATACTCCATTCTAGCAATGGGTGAAGTGTCAATGCCATTTATAGCCGCAGCCGCCCCACTTGTGCAACCTGTGCTCCCAGAGGTAAGTGTCTTGCCAAGGACACAACGACAGCAGACATCATGTGAAAGATCTTGAGGGTGGGCTCGAAGCCCCAACCTCTGGCTCTGACTACGTCGTCCTAAGAGCTGAATTGCTTTAAAGGGGGGTGGCACTCGTCTGTTCTCTACTTTTCTGTCAGCAATAGCTGATTCTACAAAGTGAACCACAATGAGACAATGTCAAAACTAGAGATGACCATTAAAAGAGTTAGTTGATACATGGATTTTTATGCTTTACCTCTGCGGTTTTCAAAGACAATCCAGCTTTAATATACATTATTATGATTATGGTGAAAACATATCACATCCCTACAAATCTGTTATTGGTTATATCAAAATCAAAATGGGTGTTCCCTATTGGCACATAAATTAAAATCCAATTTATTAATTGATTTTTAATTGAGATTTATTTTTAGTTTATTATGGACCAAAATCTCTAGTAAAGAGTTTTTCAATGTAAATAATCAATTCCTTTAAATTCACAATAATGTGCAACATAATCATAACGAGCTGATAAAGAAAAACTATTGCAGACAACTTTCTAATCCCCGCCCCCAAAAACTGTGCCACAAAAAGAGGCCGGGGAATAAGCTGGGTTCAAAGAATTCATCAAAATTCAGTGCGTGTAGATTGCAGCGCCGAAGCCGACCTGCTGAGCTGTGCTGAAGAAATCTATTGTGTACAAATGAACATGCACGCTGGAGAGAGCATGTGCAGAGATAACAGCGTCTATAGCACCTCTCCTCTGAGCTAATTGAAAAACACTGCTAAAAGCATAAGTTAGCTGCACGTGTGGGGTTGGTTTAAATAATGGATTCAGAGGGCACAGCAGACCTCCGGTTCTCAAGCTGCAGAGTGGTTTTATACCTTTTTGAATGTGATATGATTTTGTTTTATACCGCATTCTGTGTGGTAGTGTGACCATAGAAGGATAATTGATCTACAGTTTTTTTTTTGTAGAATGATGTTAAAACTGACTGGTCATTACAGCATATCAGTAGCTAATGTATCTCTTGGCGATGTGGTAGATGCTGAGGGAACAGACTTATTCCCTGGTATTAAACCGTGCGTGAATCTGAAAACATGGTCAGAGGTCATTTGTGCTCGTATTGACAATAAATAGATGTTTTTCTGAGATGCCAAAAGAAAGAAAGAAAGAAGAAAAGATTTTGGGCGCAACAGGCATTTGTTTGATATCCACTCTCCAGGCCTTTCTGTTGTGGGGTTGGAATGTTTTTCTCTCTCCGATTGTCTCATAGGTGATCCTCCAGGTGCTTCCGATTTCCAGAAGACATTGTTTTATTTTTAGTGCATACATAAAAGCACATTCCAATCCCATCCCACTTCTGAGTTATATAAGCGAGGGAAGGCAGAACGTTCCAGAGCTTTGGTTCAGCCACAGAATGGCCCTGTCCCTCGGGTTTAAGTCTTAGGCACCACGAGCTGGAGCTGGCCCTGGAACCTCAGCGCGCGAGGCGGATGGTTAATTTGGATGAGGTCCCATATGTACTGTGGGGCCAGTCCTTTCAAAGCTTTAAAAAACAAACAATACAATCTTAAAATCAATTCTAAAATGGAAGCCAGCGCAAAGAAGCTCTAACAAGAGAAATGTGCTCACGTTTTTTGTT